TACCCCTCGCCGGTGCTTCCTGCAGCTGTACCGCTTTTAGGAATAGGCACCTTTTGTGCCGGTACATCTAAATGCTAGTAAGGTCAGACCACTGGGGCAGGAAATAAATGCAATTTTATTTTAATGTAGTTCATCACACTGCCATCGTACTTGTATACCACAAGGGCTTTTCTTTAAATGAGGACCATTCATGGTTAAGTACTTTTAAATAAATAAGAAAAATCTCAGGTTCGGTGATTGTTGTATTTGGTTATGCTCTCTTCCATAGCAAACCTCTTTGCTTCATTTGAGAAGCCAGTATTCAGTAGTAATTGTTAATTACAGTTTTTGTCATTCCGTGATAGAAGATGCAGACAATAACGCTGAGCTGATGCAAGGTAATAGGACTCCTCGTTAAAAGCATTGTTTCTAAAAAGCTGTTGTTTAGCCAGGCATCTGTTTTCGACTATTGTATTCAACTTCAGAAGTTCGTAAGTGATCATTGTGAGGATGGAAAGTATTACACCGAATCACCATCTGAATGAAGAAATATGCTGGGCCAATTTTCCCTTACTACCTTCTTCCCACCTCCCTTAAGTTTTCCCACAGCCTTAAAATATCCTTAAAGACAGCGATGATAAAACCTGCCTCTGGATAGCACTGCTGAGGGGTTGGGACTGTGCCTCTTCCAGTGTTTTGGTAAGAGCTGTGCCAACTGCAGCTTCCTTCTCTGAGTGGCACATTTTCGCTAAAGTGATCTCTTTGTGTCCAGTAAAAAAAAAAAAAAAAGAAAAAGAAACAAAGCAAACAAACAAACTATTATTCAAAAATAAAGTAATTTTTGTATTATTATTAAATAGCTGCTGTGTGAGTAAAGGTCATATCACAGAGTGGCATTTTGCCAGTATATGACAACTCATTGATTGCGATTTTTCAACCATATTAGTCTGGGGACACTGTGGTAATCGAAAACTATCCAGAACTAATGTATAAATAACTGCCTGCTATCCCTGTGCTAAACCAGCAGAAGCCTCATGTACGGTTGAAGCCTTTTACAGGTTTGAGAGAGGAGGCAAGGTCTTTGATACAGTATTTTTGTACGCCAGCGAGTGTTTATATATTGCGCCTCTGAATGCTGTGTAAGTTAGCGAAGGAGGAAAATCCTTTTGTTTGCACTCGAAGACGGCTCGAGTGTGTTCAAACTGTCAAATGCTGAAGTCTGTTCCTCTGTGAGAAATGTGATGTACTTCACACATTTTCTTTACAGAAATATTAATATAAAACTCAAATATTTACATGCAGTATTTGAGTAAGAGGAGAAATGTCGAACCATTACACAGAACAGATTGTAGATTTTTCTCCAGAAAATTGTGTTACTGACGGAATGAATAATAAATAATATCATTTCCATCACATCCGGGAAAAACATACTGTATATGCCATAGGGTGACTGTCAAAAACTAGGATTATTTTTTGAGAGGTTCAGTTGCTAATATTGGTTGTTGGGTGGGGGTTTTTTAATTAACATGCTCTGTCAGAATAAAAGAAGGCAAGAATTTAGGCATGGGCAAAAAATTTATTCAAAATCTAAAGAAATGTTAATAGTACTCATTTGCAAGTAGTCATGAGGCTTCAATGTTTGAAATTGGAGCTACAGCATATTATGTAGAAGCCACAGAATAACTAATATTTCTTCTTAAAATACTGAAAATTGAGATTGGCAAACCAAATTGCTAATTGTTCAAGTGATTAAGGACTTATTTTAATAAAAGGGTAAATGTTTTAAACAAAAGTGAAAGACCTCCGTTGGAGTCACTGTGTGCACAGTCTCTTAAAGACTAAAATGGCCAACTGACAAAGTACCACTATTTCTGCGTCTGCTTGTGGCTTGGGGGCCATAGCAGAAGGCAGAACTATTGTAAATTTTGTGGAAGTATTAAGAACCCTTGAGAAAGTAACCTCTGTCTTGTTGATCGTTAACATATTCTGATTTTGTTTAAAGAAGAAGATCCACATTTTCCTCTTTTCTGTCCCTTGTGTATTCCTCAGGTCTGTTGTGTTGTTGCTGCGATTCAAAAATCTGCTCTGCAAAATTTTTTACAAAGGGCTGCACTTACAAGTTTGTGTGCAAGTCTGGCAAGTTTGAAAAAAAAAATCTAAAAAAAAATCAAACAGGCCATTGTAAAAATAGAAACATTAAAGCAATCTGTTATGCTTCTTGTTTACAACTCATCTGACATTAGGCTACTGAGGATTATTACATGTAACAATTATATTTTGATTAGGGTAGAAATAGGTACAAAAATACTAAAATATTTCTGTTCCTACGTGAAAGGAAGGTACCTTGTGATTTAATTTCCAAAACATTATGTAAATTTAAAATGTCAGAAAATGTAGAATTTAAATTCATTTCTGTTTGTTTTGCAACATTAATACTTATTACAGTTAAGAGCACGTTACTCTCCCAAACTTCTAACCTTCAGAGAAGAAGGGGAGAGAGAAAACTGTTACTGGCTTTCTGACAATGGCAGGGAGTGTGTTAAACCAGTGTAAAATTCAATTAAACTGTCTAGCCAGGTTTTTGAAGCTGAAATGCAGACCCTTTCAGTTAAGCTTCTTATTTTCCTGTGACCGACACCGGTGGATACTGTGTTATGCCAAAACCAACAGGCTGTAAAGCACCTTGTTTCATGCTCCTAGCTGATCAATATTTTTATTTTCCAGGCTTGCCCAGAAATATGGAGGCAGTATCACCTAACAGTAAGTAGAAACACCTTTTTTATTTTCTCCTACACCCAACCTATTTACTCTTCTGTGAACTGCTGACCATAAAATATAGACAAGCATCTTCTGTGAGAAGATAATAAACATCTGAAGAGTTTTTGAACTGAGGAATGCGATGAAACACTGTCACTATTTTTTAAACATCTTTAGAACTTACGATTTCGTTTTAATACTGTAATCATTAAATGAATGCCTTGCAGCCCTCTCTCCTCTCAGTGACCACATTTACACATATAAAGAGGGTTAAATTTTAAGTTGAGATGCATAGCAGAAGCAATAATCCCATCTCACATATCCCAGATGCTGGTAATTAATCACTGCGTGTGACAAAGCTTTCTCTTTAAATGAGTAAAATAAATCCCAGCTAGAGTGGAGATGTTAGTTTGAACAAATGCACTTTGTAAACTTTTGCAGATAATTTCTAGTTGGTAAGGACGTAGCTATAACTTCTTCTTTGCCCTCATTACTTGATCTTTAGCCCTTGAAACAAGAAAATAAAACTTTGTGAACTGTACCAGTGTATTACTTAAGGTTTTTCCTCGTATGTAAAATAGAGATAAAAATAAAACAAAATGCGTATAAAATTGGCTAATGTTGAAACCTGGAACAATGTTTAACTGGTTAAGACAACATTCATTGGATTGGTATTACAAATCTGAATATATTCATTTATCAAGTTATTATACATAAAAACACCTTTAAAGATTAGGATTTTTGCTGTTCATCTGAATCTTTGATGTCATTACTGTCCACATCAGCCTCGTGTGTATTTAGCTGTTGTAGATAATTAATCACTGCTGTCCATTGAAACAAAGTAGAAAAGTTTGTCCACAACTTTTCTTCATGGGTCTTTGGTGGGGGCTTTTTTCTTTTGAGGAATAAATGGGATGTGCTTTGTAATTTGTTGCCTCCACCTCTTCACGGTAGTGGAATGCTCTTTTTTCTGTTTTTGCTTCTAAATTCAATGAGTAGGAGAAATCAGTGCTTAAAACCTCTTGCTTGTGCTTTCTGCATAATGATTTTAAAACAAAGATCTGCTTTGGAAATCCCGCACCCTTTCTGAGCATTTACTTTTATTTTAAACAGAATTGGTATGGACTTTAAAAAAAAAATTAAGAGCAAAAGATGCATTCACTGTGTATTTTTGTTTGCTTTTTTAAAATTGCATGAAGGAAAAAGGTAAATACTGTCTTTCATTATAATCCCTAAGGGTGCATGTAAAAACGATTTCTGAAATGTTTATGATATTTGGAATCTAATAATCAGATAGGTATATTATATGCAGTAATATGCTGGGTTCTGGTTTTTACTGAGGTATAAGATTTAATTCAATTTTAGTCTTGCTTGCCATTGAAAATGCCTCAAAAAGTGAGTTGCAATCAGCACTTAGAAAATATTTATTTTTGTAAAAAAAGGGGGAGGGAGCTTAAACCAGACCAAGTGGGTTTTAGGGCAGTATTTGAGGTACCTGAGGTAGAAAATTTTATCTGTGAGTTTTGTAGAAAGTGTTTGGAGTTTACACTTTACTTAGCAAAAAGCTAACAACATTTGTCAAAACAAGCACTCGTTAGGAAATGTAGTAGTTACGAATATAAGTGTATTATTAAAAGTACCCGTTTGGAAATTCTTAGTGCATTTTAGGGACATTTTGAAATGTGGACACACAAAGACAAACTGACATGGGGTCAGTCCCTAGCTACTGATAAATAACTTTTATCTTGCAGTGAACTGCAAATTATCTGCAAATAATCCTCATTTCTGATAAGCGGGAAATGCTTTGCACGTCTCCATTTTTTGCATGGGAAGACTCACTTTGACTCAAAGTTACATTGTCAGTACAATGTACAAAGTCAGATTAAGCCTGGAATTTAAAAATTTGCGTGTAAAATAAGTTATAGCTCAAGAAACCGTATTATCTGAATTGTTTAAATGTGTGAGTCCCAGCTTTTGTTGTCAGTTTAAATATTCCCTTTTGCACCCAAAGCAGAACAGAAGCAAATAATGCTCTCTTGCAAGAATCAAAACTTCTACCTTAGAATAATGTGGATTATATATATATTTATAGAATTGCAACTAAAAAGTCGAGATCTTTTACTCTTATATCAGCGTAGTAGTATTTCACTATAGAAATCGGTTTATAATGTTTCTAGTTTAGAATAAGTATTTCTGTACAAGCAGGATAACAGTTAAAAGAAAAATACTAGAAGTTTAAAAAAAAAGTACTATTGCTTGCGTGCCGCAGAGGCTGCCTGATTATTGAAAATCAGCAAACAGGCGAAGGCTACAGTGAGTTTTTCCTGTGCTTTAGCCATGGATGCAACCTCTAGTTTTAAATTGATTTTGGTAAATTGGTCGTGAGCATCACACATGCAGGTACACGTAAGCGCAAATAAAATGAGGCATTTGGGTTTGTAATAAAAGACCGTTTTTATAGCGTCGCTTACAGCCAGCCATTACAAAGTTTGTCTCAGTGTTTTGCATTATATAAAGTATTCTTAGTTAATTACTGTGAATGCTAGTGAAAAACCACACAGCCTTCCACCTTTCTCTTTTGTGAAGCTTTTGGTGATTTTATTCATTATCTGGCTCTTTCCTAAGAGATGGACTGCCATCTATTGACTTCTTGAAGTCCCTGCACAGAAGCGTGGATTGACTAGAACAATGACTAAATAATAAATCCATTCTGCTGTTATGGGTGGTGGTAGGTTTTTGTTTACATTAGCTGTGGTGACAAATTTTGGCACATTACAAATAATTTGTTGTATGGGTAGAAATGTCTTATTCCAACCAAAATACGCTGCCAGTGCAAGAAATCTTGCAAGCAGTTGAAATGGCAAAAAGGATTATAAGCAGAATATTTTAATTTGCCTTTTGATAGAAAAAAGATTATCGTATTGTATTCAGTGGAGACTAAATTTAAAGACTCTCTGATAATCAAAGCTTTATAAGTGGATGAAGTTAGTTTCTTTAAACTTGTTCTTTCAACTCGGTTAACTAAAATTATTCTGCAAAAAACCAATCAAAGCCAGCAGAACAATCCAATTCCCATAGTGGTTTAAAATAATATTTAATAACCTCTTTAAGATGGTGATTTAAAACTTTTACAAATCATTTTCATTGTGCCTGCTCTCTATGCATTTCTCTTATATCAGAAAAGAGAAATTATGTTTGTCAAAACATATTTTAAGTTTTTCTTCATACAGGTATCTATTAGCAATAAATACATCTGTTTTGATACCGCTTTCGTTTATCAGAGGGGTTGTTATCAAATCAAGTAATAACATAAGGATTTTGTTGATAGATCCAGGACAAAACAGTTTTGATCGTAGCTTACTGCAGTGTAAATAATAATACGTGTGATTTTTTAACAGCCAAGGCATTTGAAGGTCTTTTAAAGCTCTTTGTTCTAGATTATTAGGAAGCTTAGCTTACAACTTTGCCTTCCTAAAGCCAGATGCCCCACAAACCCAGAGAAGTAAGGTCTGTGCTCTAAAGGACATGCCATCACATCCCCTTTTCATCTTAAGGATGTTGAGGGTAATCATACCAGTGTTTTTCCACCCTCAGAATGCTTGGCTCTTTGCCTTTCTCTTGTCATTTCGGATTTCAGCTATAAAGATAGAGACATTTACTGAATACTTCGTACTCAAACGGAGGCCAGTTTATAGCTCTTTAATTACAAAAAAAAAAGTTGTCAGTGGAAAAACTTGTAAGATGAAGGAACACTGCGATTCTCATTCATTTGGTGCAGTTTTGCACTTTATTCTTAAGAAAATACAATAGCATGCCCCTGAGTTTGATCTGCTGCCCGACGGCCTGACTGCGTGTCCGGTGGCAGCTCCATTTCAGGTAGGTCTGCGCGCTGGAGGAGAGGAGCAATCAATCGCCCACGCCCCAGGCTTGGGGGCTCAGTGCGGGGTCTGTTCTGCAGGGGACAGCCCTTCTCTCTAAGAACAGGAGTGGCTGTAGGTGTAGGCAGCTGGGGGCCTTGGCAGGATTGGGGCTGGCCTTCCGTGGGGGCACCGTGCTGTGGAAGGGAGCAGCTCGCGTTCTGTGCCCGAGCCGGCGGACGGGACCTCAGGTCCAGACCCTCTCCCATCCCCTAGGTCATCCTGGGGCTTCGCCACTGGAGTGACACGATGAAACCAAGGGTGGATATTGCGCCGTTGTGAGCAGTCGCATTTCCACCCAGCAGATGACATCACTGGAGAACAACAAGGAAATTTATTTTTAGCGCGTAGCAGCCCATGTTTTGCTTCAGGCGTGAAGCTGCACTTCTTCTGTGTGAGTCCCCCTGAAGTGTAACTGGGACCCCTCCTGCGCGGTGGTGCTGGTGAAGACGCACAAATGGCCATCTCCGTATTTTGATATAAAATGGAATATGTGCTGTCCACGTCGATCTCCCTATGTCTGCTGCACGGCTTCATTGTTCAGAGGGACTCATGGCATACAAGCACCAACGTAGCCAGCCCAGCTCAGGAGCAAGATGTGATACAATAATCAACTATGAATTAACGTTGCAAGTGTTAGTGTCTTCTTCAGTAAATATCTACAGAGTAGTGAAATCCTGTCCCTAAAATGGGCAGAGCGCAATTTTTATTTTCCTGATGTGTTTCTCAGTGTAGATGCATATGTTAAAAAACAAATTCTGCTCGGACTAGGTGTTTTCTTTCTGTTCGTTTTTAATAACCTCTTCCTCCCTCTGTGCTGCTCTGTCCGTAAGGACTCCTTCCCCCATCCCCTGCCTTCGCCAGTCTCATTTATATTAAAACTCCTAGGCCAAGATGGCCACCAACAGAGTTTTAGAACCATCAGAATTTTTAACTAGCAGAAGCTATCATTTAACATGCTTTTTGACAGTTTGTTAATCTTACTTTTAATCCACTTACATAAAAGAAGGTGAAACAGGAATTGGCTGTTTTGGCCTCTGTGCGTAAAAGACATAAAGGGACAATGCGTCTTTTGTGTTTAAATTT